CGACGAGCCTGGACCGGTGAGTTCTCATCAAAGCCGAGTTTTCGTGGTGAGGCCAGGCTCAGCTTGCTCTGTTTTGAAGGTGAGCACTGCAGGGAGGTGCCAAGGTTGCAGACATTGTCATCACCTTGATGGAGAAAAATGAGAAAGTGCTGTTATTTGTTATGACTCAAGACTGGCTGAAATTTTAATCCTGAATTGAAGAGTTGCCATTTGCCACTAGAGGTACTGAAGGTGAACCGTTATTAGTTATTAGTACACAGAGCTGCATGAAGTAGTGGAACAACTGAAGCTTTTGAATTCACCGTTCAATACCTGTGCGCTTTCGAGGGCTGAGGGGGATCCGGCTTTGGAGACGAGGGGAGGACGGTGCTGGTGGCTGGGCTGAAGTGCGTCTGGGTGAAAGAGGGGACGAGAGGGCGACTGGCCGCGTTGGGGAGAGAGGAGTGGGCTGGTCTGTGTAGCGTCTGGGGGACAGTGGGGTGGACAAGTTAATGGGACGTCTCGGGGAGAGGGGGCCGATCCGCGTCAGCCCCGGGTCCTGAGTTTCAGGCTTGATTGGTGACACAGCTGGGGACTTCTGGGGCTCCGGCTTCTTGGAGCGGGAGGAAACTCTGCAGGATTTACGTCGAGGGAACTGAAGTGTGGGCTGAGCTCGTCCCTGGGAGCGTGTGCTGGGCATTTTGGATTAACCTAAACGAAGACAACATGGTTAAGCACCTAAATATGACGCATGATTCAGACATCATTTAATTATTAAAAAATAATAAGAACCAATGTTTTGTTTGGCTTTTTTATATATTTATATATGCATGAACAGAACTGTAGCCAGAATAATATGATCATAAATATATGTGAAGATTAAACACTGATTACGATGAAGTGCGTGCTCCTATTTGGAAATACATAAACATGTACTTTTGTGTAAGGACCACCAAAAAACAACAAAGCTAAACATGTGCTAGAAGACTTTCGACTGATTCACAGGCAAATTATTACTAAGCCCAACTTTCACGACTGTAGTGTTTGAGTGGAAATGTCTGCTGTGGGTCTTGAAAAACGGGCAAAGGCATTTCAGAAACAATCGTGTCCCCAAATAAACCTTGCGTTCATTGGTTGTACAAATCTTTTCGCATCCCTCCACGATTTGCTGTCCTATCAAAGTCGTTTAGCTCAGTTGCTCTAACATGCTACTCAAACACGAGCCATTAATCGCGTGACTTCGTGTTAAAATTCAAAATCGCAAATAAAATCGTAGCACTGCGCTTAGTACTACACAAACAGCACAAATTACATTTGTTATATCGCGTGACTCCTGAGCTAACAGTTACCTATAAACAGGAAATGATACAGTGTGCTCCACTAATGGCGCCAAACAAAGGCCTCGGCCTTTAAATATCCGAGTTTCCACTTTGACCGGACAGTTTTTT